TCTCTCTGTCTCTCTCTCCCTCTCTGTGTTTCTCTCCCTCTCTGTCTCTCTCTCTCTCTCTCTGTCTCTCTGTCTTTCTCTCCCTCTCTGTCTCTGTAGCCATCTCTCCAACCAGCGTTGCGTTGCGAGTGGACAGTTCCCTCTCTGATGTTCCCTTCCCCCTTTCTCTCTCTCTCTCTCCCTCAGTCACACCGGAGACAGCACAATAAGGACAAACCTTTCAAATGCCCGCACTGCCACAGGGCGTACACAGACTCACCGTCGTTACAGGTCCACCTAGCTACACACACAGTCAAGCACATCAAGGCCTACGCCTGTAACTCCTGCAGAAAATCATACACATCAGTGAGTATCGTCCCCCTGTCCCTGGGAGCGCTCGCGCTGACGCTGGGTATAAAGTGGGGACTGAGGGAGTAGGCTACGCTGTCATGGTGATGTAGAGGGAGCTCTGTATTGTCCCCCCTGTCCCTGGGAGCCGCTCGATGCTGACGCTGGGTATAAAGTGGGGGCTGAGGGAGTAGGCTACGCCGTCATGGTGATGTAGAGGGAGCTCTGTATTGTCCCCCCTGTCCCTGGGAGCCGCTCGATGCTGACGCTGGGTATAAAGTGGGGGCTGAGGGAGTAGGCTACGCTGTCATGGTGATGTAGAGGGAGCTCTGTATTATCCCTGGGAGCTGCTGGATGCTGACGCTGAGTATAAAGTCGGGGGGCTGAGGGGGTGTAGGCGACGCCGTCATGGTGGGACGGGAATAACTGTGTGACTCCTTCCCACCATTGTCTCTCTCTGTCTCTCTCTCTCTCTCTCTCCTCCTACCCCACCCCTCCACAGGAAACGTACCTTATGAAGCACATGAAAAAACACAAGGCCCCCGCTCCGCCCTCCGAGCTGTACGGCGCCACCTCGGGTGGGCAGGGCACCAACGCCGACGCGGCCCAGTGCTCCTTTGACCTCCTGCCCTTCAAGCCCGACCCCCACAAGGACCCCTGCCTGACCGTGAGCACCAGCGCTTTGCAAGTCGACCAAATGGGAGGCTCCTAGGTCCCGCGCCTTGACCTTCGACCCTCCCGCCCTCCTAGCTGCCACATACGGCGCCCTCCCCCTCCAGAAAACCCCGACCCGTTCGGTGAGGGGTTTGGCGGGGTGGGGGGGAGAGGTGGTGGTGGGGGTGCGGGTGGCTGTCGGGTCCCACCCCCGCCCTCGCTTCCCCACTGCGCCCGTTCGCCGCCCCGAAACGAGATGGAGGCCGTGCGTGCGTGCGTGAGAGGGCCGCGAATCGGAGCTCACGTCGGGGGTGGTGGCGGGCTGGGGGTTGCGGGTGTGCGCTTGGTCG